AAAAAAGGGAAAGACCACGTATTTAACCTTTTTAGATATTTGCTTTTGTGATGCCAGCCTAACATGCATGTATTATAAAACTAGTTAATAGGAATATAACTTAAGATGATGGCTAGCTTTGTTTGGTGTTATGTCTGCCTAAAATAAAAATCTAGGTCATTTCTAAGTAAGATAAACTACTGAAACATTCATTACTGAACTTAAGCTTATATATTTTTGGCATCTTGTTCATATAGAGAAGCTAAAGACATTTAGATCTATTAGTAAACACATCCTTTGGCACATGAAGGATTATACTGTGAGGTATTTCATGCCTCTAGAAATTGTGAAATTATATTTCATAAATTAATCTGTAGAGTACTGATATAGGACAGACCACAGTTGTCTGCTTCATAGTTTTCTCTGTAAAAGAAAGATTGCTAATAGTTAAAAATTATAATCAGTTATAGTTTCATATATAAATGAAACTATTAGAAATTATAAGAATGAAGAGAAATGACCTTGTATGCAGAGTATGCAAGATATGAAGAATGTGTTTTGTCAGGGGAAAAAAGTAATTTTATTCTAAGGTAGACTGACTGGTTGTTCTGGAATGAAGAAGGAGAAATACAGGACAAAGACTAAATCATATTAGAAAAATGGTTGTAGATTTTTAGAACAGGAATTTTGTGTGTGGTTAATTGTCTAACATTAAATGGATTTATTTATAAGTTAAAAAAAAAGTTGAACTTTAAAATCAAAAGAGTACTGATGCAAAACTAGAACACCAAAGTTTTCCTGGCATATTTGTCCGCTCCTATTAAGAAATTGTAAAAAGGTTTTTCTTTATCTTTTAAATAGTCTGCGTAGGAAACAGATTTTGCATCATCCAAATAATTTCCTGTGCTTCGTGTTTCTTTATCGGGTCTTTGATTATTTAAGAAAATTTGTCTTCTCAATATTAAAAGAGCTAAGATTTTCTTTACAACTGTGTAACTTTGTTTTGCCTTTGAAATAGTTTGTCATTTTGTTTAAATAGATAGCTAAGTATTGTTTCACAGTGATCTGTGATCTTATTTAGTTAAGTGTTTAAAACCTTTGACATTTTTGACAACTTCCCCAAATCAAGTTCTAAATGGAGTCTTGTTGACCTCAAAGTCACTTAGAGATTTTCTAGAGGGTCCTGGAAAATCTCAGTGGATTAGTCTCTCACCTTGTAAAATTAGGTTTATTCGATATGTTAAATACCTGGGAATCATTGTCAAGTAAGAAATAATGACAAACTTTCTTAGATTATATATGTATGGATATATGTTACTAATAATAGGTATTCCAGAAATGCATGATGTTCATAGAAATGTGTCAGTACCCTTGTTAGGTTTTTGTGTCAAAATACCATATACCACAGAAATAACTAATTTTCCTTTTCAAATGAACTCTTCATCAGAACTTTAACCACCGCTATTTTAAGTCTTTTTTCATTCACAGACAAATTTTTATTTTACTCTCATTCTTCTCTGAAAGCATACATTCAGCCACAGGCATGAATGCTCCATGTGGGCCTCAGGTGAATAGCTTTCAGACCTTGTTGCTGTACTAAGTTCCCAGAAGTAATGAAGAAACTGATTGATTTTTAAAGCTGCCAACTCCAGATCAGGCAGCGCAAGAGTTAACTGCATGGGACTGAATGAACTGATGAGGATGGTTATAATTTTTTTGCAACTCTCTGAAACATTGCTGGTTTTGTTTTCCAGATTTAAAGAATCCTTTTCATCTTTTCTCTTAAGCTATCTGTAGCTTACACCAGTCTGGTTAACTACACCTTTGTGAACAAATAAGAAGCAATTACTTTTTCTTCCTGATTGATTCAGAATTCAGAAACTCTTAATGAGTATTCATTCTTATTTTCATGACAATATAGTTATTTTGTGTAAGTTCAGTAAGAATCAATTCTAGTAATAGGATAGAGTTGGAAACATTGGTTATTATTACCAGGGCTTTGACCAGAGAGTAATGTACATAGATTCTGGTTAAAGGGACTAAGGTTGACCTCATGGAGCCAATGTTCTTGGAAAAACTGACCTATATGGCCAGTCACCGTTCTTGCTGTATTTATGTAAATAGTACAAATCGAAAGAGACTAGAATTATTTTGTAAACAAGAATTAAAAAGTTGACTGTAGAGAGAAATTTTTTCGTTTCAGTGCAGAACTGTAATGCACCCTTGTAGGGGTCCATCTTGCACATTTTGCCAATTTTCACCAAATTCTCAATTCTAGTTTCCTCCAGTATCTGGCCATAACTCTCCAAACTCATGTTTCCAGTTTTTCTCCCACGCTCCTGACATGGCATTACTGAGAACTGCAACTGCCCTTTTCCTGAAACCCTGCCAGTCGAAGCTGGCCGACTTCATATACACGTAAAAAACAAATTACCACAACAGACCGTGTATGGGCAGCCTGTGTGCCTCCTGCTGTATGGCCCTCTCTCAGAGTTCACGAGAACACGATACTATCACCAGAGACATCCAAATTGCAAACTAGGAAAATTCTTCAGAAAGCCACCGTCATTCTCACCCTACTATTTAAAGATGCTTCAAACTCAAGTCTCAAAATCTCACCTGGCATGCTCTGGACCCAGAAACTGGATTTCTAACTATTAGCTTTTGTTTTTCTTTTACTTTCATAGAAACTCCCCTTATTAATTGCCTGACTGCTGGCACCACCAACTCCCAACAAAATGTTCACCTGGTCCTTAGTGAACAAACGGCTACTGAACGAGAAAATAGACTGATACTGTTCAGAGAAAAGAAAAATGTCTCTTCTTTCTTGAGCAAGAGAAGGTACTGACAGAGATTCTTTGCTTGACCAAATTTTGGTCAGACTCCTAAAAGTCCTTCTCTGAGACCCATCTGTTTATCTCCTTGTAAAATGCAGTTCGAGAACCTTTTAGGTTAGTTCAGTGAGAAGCCCCACCCTTGCATGTGATCACCCTTGATAACCTGGTGGCGTTTCTTTTCTTCCACCACCCCAGAGTGATGTCTGTCTTCAGGAGGACTTCAGTTAGAATTTAGTCCTGTTCAGCGAGAACCCCCGTTGTTTCCTCTTAGTAATTTTCTGTCTCCTGGCCTTGGCTCACCACCCTGCTCCCTGACTATGAATTCCTACTTGCCCATGTCATATTTGGAGTCGAGTCCAGTCCTTTTCCCCCACTGAAAAATTTTATCGCGGTGCTCCCTGTACCTGTAGAGATAACCTGTACCACCTTGAGTAAGGTCTTCCTTAGTGGGTTTTAACAAGTGCCATTGAATATTTTCTCTTAACACACGGAGTTTTCCTAGACATTTGGTGTCACAGACGTGAGATTTGCTAGAATGGCCCTGGCTCATGGAAACATGTGGTTTGGGAAGAGAAAGGATAGAAGGGTAGGGGATGCGGAACTTTGATTCCTGGTGGTCACATGGTCTCCCATGGGTGCTGCTCTCAGTTACTAAAGGTAAAAGTTACCAGTGGAAATTCAGTTCTAGTACATTGGTTCACTGGATGCATAAGGAAATGGAAACTAATAAGAAAAAGGTGAAATGTTCACTCCCTTGGTTATTATTATCTGTAATAATAGCTAAAATGTAATTAAAAGAACATGCTGGGTTGGACCATGATGCTAGATCAAGTTCAGATTTCAGCGAGCCTGAGCTTTGGCCACTAGCTATAAAGCTGACACTCAAGAGAAAAATTATGCAGGGATAAGAGAAAGTACCTCTAAGACCTCTGGTCACCAAGAAGGTGGTTGATGTGAGGGAAGGACAAAACCAAGAAACTATTTGAAACCATGGAGTATAGTGTGAAGGAATTGTTTCATTTTGTGCATCAGTAACATCAGCTTCCTGAAAAACCTTTACCAAAATGGACCAATAGAATAGTTAATTTAGGAGCAGTATCTGGTTTTAGATGCTGCAGTGGGGAAGAGCAGGATTTATAGCTCATTATGGAACAACTACAGATGGCTATATGTGATCCATACACAAAGCAGGTTATACCCAAGGGAACAGCCAGCCTGGTGGACTGGGTAAAAGCCACTGTAAGATCTGTTTTCCCTGAAAAGGTAGACTGCCCAATTCCCCCTATAAATGCCAAGTGAAACACCCCTGGTGAAGCAGGTGGTAGACTTTGTATACAAGCCTTGTTGGGATTATCTTTATGATAATGGGGCTTTTCACCTGCTGATAAATGCTATGGTTAATGGAGACTCTTCCATATACACCCCATATAACCTTACTGCTGCAAAACCAAGGGATTGTTGAGGAAGCCTTATGTGTTTGCTATTTCCGCTTCCCCTCCTGGATCTTAGAGATGCTAATAAAAAAATTGGGTTAATTAACAGGAGAATAAGGAAAAGCAAAGAAGAGAGTCAAGGGAATGGTCTTAACAAGGCAGAAAAGTTTAAGTGATTAATAAGAAATAGGGTGAATGAAGAAAATGCTGTTTGGAGCAAAACAAAGAAAACTGGGAAGAATCATGGGACTTACTCAGGAGAATGGACAGCTTTAGATAGTTATTAAGAAATCGGATGAATAAAACAGACATGAGATTAAAACAAAGGTTTTAATATAGCACTAAAGGTTGGGCAGGCCAAAGGGACCACCTTCTGGTCCCCTAACATTAAAAGGCCCAAAACCACTCAGCTGTATTCCAGTTTGGAGAAATTTAAAAGTCCAGAGGCAGAGGTCACAATGAGAAATCTGACCAGCAGTCACTTGGGGCTTTGGTTAGGCAGATTAAATGAAATAAAAATTGACCAAAGGTTCCTTGGCTCAACCCCTGGAAGGGTGGGGTGGGGTAGGAAGGGATCCAAAGCCTTTTGCAGTGGGTAAAATGGTCAGGAGTTGGAGAAGAGAACTTTTCAGAATTCCTTGATAGGGGAGCTTTTTTCTCTGTGGTACCAAACCCTTGGTGAAGCCATGAAGTAATCGAGAGAACACAAAATTATAAGGGTTGGTAGGATTATGAAAGTTGGAATGTTCAGACAGGCTTTCTGTAAAGAAATTGTGTCTCCTTTATCAGACTGTTTTATGGGAATGGATGTTATGTCTGGCTGGGCAACACTTCTAACTAGTATTGTAAAACCAAAACCTGTCAGTAAAGTTTACAGTTAGGAGTGCAAGGTATAAGTTTGTAGGAGAATTGATATGTTTGAATAGGCTTTTACCTGATTGTATTACAGAGTTGGACATTGTATCCAGCTGGGGAATGTTTTTTCTACCAAGTATTGCAAAACCGTTCAGTGGACGTACTGAACGAGAACCAGTAGGATCGCTCAAGCCCACACAGTGTGGAATAGAAGTCGGAGTGCCGGTATGGATAGATTGTGTGATAGCTCTGTGCGTCCTGCAGACTGGGGCTCAGGGCAAAAGCCTGTGAGCGCCTCCCAGCAACGACTGCTAGACTTTGGACTAGAGAATTTCCATTTGAAGGACAATTGCTGGCTCGCTATTGGACATTAATTGAAACTGCCATGATGACTAAGAGTCATAAAATAATCTCGAAACCTGAAACACTCATGATGTCTCAAGTAATGTCAGACAAACTGCAGTAGAGTGGGCACTGCCCAGAAGAGTCTGTAATAAAACGGAAATGGTTCATATAGGATCGTGCTGTTTGGGGAGTGCAAGGAGAAGGTAGATACTCAAGAGCAGAGAGCCTCTTTTCCCCTGGGACTGATCCTGGAACTGTGCGACGAGCTGATGGATTCTCTTGTCACTTGGGCAGTAGCCTATAAATAGCTCATAACCGACGAACAGGAAACTGCTTGGTTTGTGGATGGTCGTTCCAAGATGAATGGACAACATCTTCCACCACTCTGAGGAAGGAGAAGACAAATTAGCCTGGTAGGCTGTATTGCATGCCGTTTTCCTAGCCGTAATAGAATTGAACAGTGGTAAAAGCTTTTGTGTTTGGGTTTTTATTGACTTACAGGCAGTGGCCAATGGCCTGGCCATATGGTCAGGCAGAAGAGCAGTGGAAACCTAGCTTATTAAAGGGATGCACAGACAGCCCTGTGGAAATCACTGTGAGGATTTGAGGGGTGCCTTAAAATAGGACATGTTGTATGCCCATCAGAGGAACCCCCTTCCAGGTTTGGAAGGTGATCGGAATCAACAAGCAGATATCCCTGTGTGCTTGCTGGAGGTGGCCGCTTGGGTCCATGAAACGAGCCTTTGAGGCTCAGAATGCCAGCAAAAGAGAGACCGCAGATGGCTATGTGGCAGATTCCCTGGTGGAAAGGCCCCGAACATAGCTGGCAGGTGGTACTGTTGCTGGTAGCCCTAGGAGTTACAAATGGGTCCTGACAGGAATAGACACTGACTGTGGACTTGGCTTTCCTTTTCTAATGATAGATGCAAACGCTCAGATTGCTATAAAAGAACCAGAACAGAAGATAATTGTACCAATTGGGATGGCCGGCCATCATTTCCGCAGACCAAGGAATACAGTTTACAGCCCATAATTACCAACAACAGGCAGAGCGATATCCTTCGCAGAGGACAGTAAGTCCTCACCTAATGTCGTCAGTAGGTTCTTGGAGCTGTGGTGAAGTAACATATAACGAAACCAGTTTTACTGTAGTAGCCTAATTGATATAAACAAGTTCTGCAGCATCTTGTCAGTGTTATAATGAAATCATGTTGTTTGAGGACCTGCTGTAGTAGTTTGATAGAGAATTGGAACGGGCAGTTAAAACATTGGTTGTTTAAAACTAGGGGAGATAAAGATGGGAAGGGCTGGCTTACGTACCTTCATGAGAGTGTGCTCCCTCAACATTTAGTGGGGCTGAAGGAGTTGCCCCCCTCGGTAGAGTCCTCTTTCTGGTGAGTATGGGGAAGACGGTGGAGAAGGAAGCCGGACTGCAGTTCTTACCAAGGGAGGAGTATGGCGTAACGACGGTACTTTTTGCTTTCTCCCCCCATCACCTCAACTTTTCTTTTTTTCTTAATGAAGTGGTCATAGGACCAGGGCTGCAGATACAGATGCTAGAAATGGGTGATTCCTAAGCAAGATACTATATTTTTAAACTTTGCGTCAGAATTCCTAAGGGCTTCATGGAGTGGGTCGTGCTTTCACCCCATGTGGACAAATTGAGGTTAACAGTGAATGCTGATACATTGCCTGTGGTAAAAATAGCACAGTAGTTCTGTGTCTCTGTAACTTTACCTTGACTGAATGGAGTGAACTGACGGGGGAGGTACTTGCTTGACTAGTATTGCTGTTTACAGTCTAGTGGCTGAACCGTCCCTTCCGACGGTGGAAGAGTTTGGGTATAAATGGAGAGGAGGAACAGTAGTCGCTGAGGGTAAAGGAATGAATAAATGGTTGTACAGTGAGGTAAATCTGAGAGTAATGCCTCAAGAGTAAGGCATTAGAGTAATGGCTCAGAGTAAGAGATGATACTGTCTCTTAGCTGTTATGCTAGTTGACTGAAAGGGTGAAGCCATGTCTTTGCCTAGACCACTCCTCTTTTGGAAAACTTGAGTGGCCTTGCCTGGAAGGCATTTTTCATGTATATTGTTCTGCTGTAAGCTCCCCGCCCCCCGCCTCCCAGCAGCTCATCACAGGCAAGAAAGACACTACCAGTAACTGTGCTCATGGGCACTCCACCATCGGCAAGGAGATCACTGGCCTTGTCTTGGACCAGATTCGGGAGTTGGCTGACCAGTGCCAGGTTTTCAGGGCTTCTGGGTTTTCCACAGCTTTGTTTGGGGATCTGGTTCTGGGTTCACCTCCCTGCTGATGGAACGTCTCTGTCGATTATGGCAAGAAGTCCAAGCTGGAGTTCTCCATTTACCCAGCCCCCCAGGTTACACAGCTGTAACTGCACCCTACAACTCCATCCTCAGCACCCACAGCACCCTGGAGTGCTCTGTGCCTTCATGGTTAACAGTGAGGCCATCTATGACATCTGTCATGGAAACCTCGATATTGAGCGCCCAACCTACACTAACCTGAATAGATTGATAGGTCAAATTGTATCCTTTAGCACTGCTTCCCAGAGATCTGATGGAGCCCTGAATGTTGATCTGACAATTCCAGACCAACCCAGTGCCCTGTGCCCGCATCTATTTCCCTCTGGCCACGTGTGCCCGCCTCATCTCTGCTGAGAAAGCCTACCATGAACAGCTTTCTGAAGTGGAGGTCACCAGTGCATGCTTTGAGCCAGCCAACCAGATGGTGAAATGTGACCCTTGCTACAGTAAATACATGGCTTGCTGCCTGTCGTACCATGGGGACATGGTTCCCAAAGATGTCAACACTGCCATTGCCACCAGACAAGCGCAGCATCCAGTTTGTGGACTGGTGCCCCACTGGCTTCAAAGTTGGCATTGATTAGCAGCCTCCCACTGTGGTACCTGGTGGAGACCTGGCCACAGTACAGCGAGCTGTGTGCGTGCTGAGCAACAACACATCTGTTGCTCAGGCCTGGGCTCGCCTGGACCACAAGTTTGACCTGACGTGTGCCAAGTGTGCCTTCGTTCACTGGCATATGGGTGAGAGCATGGAGGAAGGAGAGTTTTCTGAGGCCTGTGAGGGCATGGCTGACCTTGGGAAGGATTATGAGGAGGTCGGTATGGATTTTGTTGGAGGAGAGGGTGAGGAAGGAGAGGAATACTAATTACCATTCATTTCAGCCTGCAGCATGTCACACACAGAACTTCAGCTTCAACAGCTGACAGGCTTTTAAGCTTTCTGGTTAAATTGTCTTCACTTTTACCTGTGAATCCTGTCTGTCTTTTTCATGTGTCCCTATAAGATTTTCCCTTCATGTCTAAAAGTAAAGACATTGAGAAAAGGAAAAAGGTACAGATTAGATTTTCTTTCATGTTTATCCCATTTGTTGCTATTTACCTTTATTTTCCACTTCCTCCTTTCATTCTGCGCCCGTATTTTCACTGTACTTCTTACGGAGAAGCGAGATTGGCTGTGGGGCTGAGCACACAGTGGGTTAGCAACCTGGTTGACTCTGTGATCGACCCAGGGAGGACTTCTTTCTTGGCCTCTAGGCCTCCAGGCCTCCATAGGCAGGGATCAAGAGGAAACTTTGATCTGGATAGTATCACTGTGTTCCAAGTTTACATTTCAGAGTAAGGAACCGTGCTTGTTCCTAGAAAGATTCCCCACCCTCACATCCTCACCCCACAACCGTTGTCTGCCATGAGACCATCAGCACCAGTCTCATTACGCCCTTGGTTCTTATTTGCCATTCTCTTCAGGAATTCAGGACTTTTCAGGTTTCTCTCCTTTTCCAGAGTCAACCCCGACCCCACTTCCTGGCTTTATTTTTCTCTTTAGCAGGCATCTTCTGACTTGCTTTATATTTTACTTTGTCTTCTTTTCAGTACAATGTAAATATCTATTTATTCATTGCTGTAGGTGAACTGTAACCAGCAGTAGTTACTCAAAAATGCTTGTTGAATGAACACAGTAAATAATTATGGAAAGTGTGTGGCTATGCCTTTTGAGGGAGATCAGGAGAAACTCAAATTAAAGTAATCCTTTCTCATTTACTTCTCTAGATGATTTCTTTTCAAGGTACCTCATTCTCTGTAGTAAATATCATGAACGAATCGGCATTATCTTAGCTAATTATTTGTTTTTTAAGACCATATTTAAAAAAAAAAAAGAAAAATTCAGGCATGGTAACGGATTTATGGCGGGCCCTTCTCTGTGGGCCTCTCATAGTGGACCCATGCCAGAGTAACCTGCAGCCTCGAACCATTGCCCAGCCCCTTACCTGTGGGTTGCGAGCACTGAAGGGGGTTGTACAGTGTGAAAAATAAATAAGAACTGAAAAAAAATTCTAAATATAGGCACATTAATTACTACTAACTCTAGCTCCCATCTCATACTGTCTGAGATGTTTTGTCTAATTGCACCAAAATTCACAAAAACTTTTGCAAGCACAAGTAATCTTCATTTATTCTGATCCTCTCGTTTTTAATAGGGCTTGCAGCATCTATTAGATATTCACTAAATATTCATGAATAATCAGTTGATTGAAGGGTGACATTATGGCTCGCAGCTGTAGTTTGAGGAGTTTTTAATAGTCTACAACTTCGTTTCAACCTGTACACCAGCCATGCATTTCTGAAGTTGGGATGCTCCAAAGGCATTATGGATTCTGTCACACACCCTATGTTTCTAGGCACTAGCAGAAACACTAGTTTTATTCTTTAAAAGAAACAGACCTACTGGTAAATCCCTAATGCATATTTAGGGGGCAGGGGGATGCACTGCCATTGTGTTTACAGCATCTAATATACATAATGACGTGCTTCATGTCCAGCAGTCATTCTAAAGCGGATACAATATGCTCTTCTTTCATTACATTAAGGATTTTATCATATTTCATCTTTATCTTGGTGTATCTGGGGAAGTGGTAAACAGAAAATGTGAGCCTATGAAATTGGAATCCAGAAGCAATATTTAGTTTATTTTTAAGTTATTGTAGGCGAGTCTTTCCAGTTAATTAAGGTTTTATCTTAGGACGTGGATTATGCCTGCATGTGCAAACATACTCAGAAAAGGTAATAGTATTGGCCCATCCTATTTCAAATCTAGTATTATATAATAACCTACTTTTTACCCATTGATCTACATGCATTTTATTTATATCCTATTAATCTAAGCAATCCATTGAGGTTGGTACTAGTATTGTTGTTTAATAGTAGAGGAGACTCAAGTTTAGAGAGGTTAAATGACTTGCCCAGTGTCCCAGAGCATGCAGAAACTCTCTTCTTAAATGTAACCATAGAATTTCTATTTCCTGGTTTGTTGTTGCTGTTATTTCCCCCAATAAAGCAATATTTTCAGTCATTAAGAATTCAAGGAAAGATAATGGAAGAAAATAAAACATGCCCTTGAAATGAATGCCCTCATCTTCCTACTGCCTCCAACTTTTTGGATTCATAGAAAAAGTGTACAGTGTATTACAAATAAGTAGTGAAAATGAAGGATAGAAGTTTGGAATAGCATTATACTTCATGCTGTAATAAAATCTTATTTATCCTAAAGATATTTACTTAATATTTCCAGCCAAAAAGCAACCAACAAGCAAACACTTCCAGGATGTATTTGTTCATAAAGGAGCCTCTCAAGAATCTCAGATCTCATTTACTCCTGTTTCAGGCAGTTCTAGCAGGTATCGGAGTTTCCTGGCCTGTGACAGTTGATTAGAAGCAACAAATTAGAAAAATTTCAAGCAGCACTGTTAGAGACAGGAAGGCTGACAGTTCCAAGAGGGGACAGCTTTTGGTAAAGCTGTTAGTGGTAGGGAAAAAGCAAACCTAAAAGCAGACAGAGTTTTAAGAGTTGTTTTGGAGTCCTTGTCTTTAGCATACTCCAGGCGTACTCATGATCATCAGCCTATTAAACCACAGTACTCTAATCTTAATAATAATCCAGAGGATTATTTTTAAAAGTAAATTATGCTAAATGTACTCTAACAAGATAGGCATTTCCAACAACAAAAAAAATGTTAAATTATGCTGGATAAATACATGAAGCATTGTCATACCCAAACTATTGCATATGATATGTTCTTATCTTTTAACTTGCAAAGGGCCCCTTTGAAGAAGTTTTGCTATAGTTTAAGTTCATAGTTCAGCCTGTTAGTGCTGCTGGTTCTGGAAAACGAGATTGACGATGACTCAAGTGAACCTGTGTGACTGGGCAGAAGAAAATTCCTCGCATCTCTGTGCTGCAGGACTTCTTTGCAATTAGCTTGCAGAACTGATTCTCCTCAAACTAGTGATTGCTCTGTACATCCTGTGAATTATTTACACCCTGATGGTACCAAAGACTACATTAATGGCACCTCTGGCTCCACACGATATCAAGAACCTTAATAATTCATCATTTAGTACAGATACATCCCTGTGGATTAGCATGAGTGGGAGCTGAGTTTACAACACTGAGATAAGGCCCTCTCGGAGACCTCGCTCTCTGAACATCCTATCCATAAATATTCAGATATGAGTGGTGTTAAAAAATAAAGCAAAGATTACTGACTGTTACAGAGCTCTAGATTCTTTAGGTTATGTTTGTCAAGCATTAGATTACTTCAAGTTTGTAAGTACATTGAAGGGATATGTCAAGGGGGAAATCTTTGGAAGACAGTTCTCCATTTCAGGACTCCTGCTTTTAAAAAAAAAAAAAAAAGACAAATCAGCATTAGCATATGCATACTAAATGGAATTAATGATTGGCCACTGGGGAGAATAGTGAGAGACTTTTTAAAAACTATCCAGATTCCTAATCTAATAAGAGTTTTACCTCATATTTGAAGTCTTCAAGTATCAGTCATCTTCAGCCTTTTTGGAGTACTTTAAATGTTGCTTTAAAAAAAGTCAAAGAAAAAGGTTAGTAAAATTGCCAGTGTGTATAACCCTGGCACTTAGCACAGTGCCTGACACGTAGTTTAGTAACTGTTTATTGCATAAATATGTGATCAGATCAATCCATATAATTCTAGTTAGACACCTGGAATTTTGATAGAGCTTCATTGATTTATACTAGTTGCTTTCTATGACAGTACTAACATTTTTAAGACAGCATTATCCTGTAGAGAGGCTCCAAAGTATTTCGGGTTCCTTTGGGTTCCATTGAAATGCCTTAGAGGTTCTTCAAAGACACAAATTTATTCTTTCCCCCAGTAGAGACACTGATAATGAATGCATAGTGGTTTGTACCATGTTGAGTTTACCAAGTTTATAGCCAGTTGAATATAATTTGATTGCCTTTGATTTCTTTAATAATGATTTTCTTTAAAGCTGATGATCTGGTCATCACAGACATTCATGAGAGAAGCATAGTGGAGGAGAACAGTCAAGTTATACTGCCGGGGAGGTTAGGGTTTGGAAAGGCATTAGAAGCACTGTTATTAAAACAAAAGCCCTTAATCTGTAAAAGGAAAAAGTAAATTTCAACAAGTACGAAATGTGGAAGTAAATCATAGTATGCTAGTCTGCCACACAGATATTGGCTCTCCATTTGTGGGACCACCACCTTGGAGCAGAGTATGGGATATCTAAATGAGAACAGCTGAATTTCTCCTTCATTTGAAACCACAGTAAACATCTTTTGTATGAAATTCTGTGTTTTTAGTAGCAAGTATGAATTGGATAAAGTATCTGAATATGAGATTTTTATGTGGAATAAATTCATATTTTTTTCTTTCTTACATTTCCCAACACGCCTCTCCATTCATGAGGGTCTTTGAGCTGATACCTGGTGCCAGATATCTTGGAATGAAAGTTTTAGAACTGTGATAAAGTGATGGTTTGATCCAGTCTTGGTTATAAGTTAAGCTCTTAAGTGAAAACGGCTAGGTTTTATAGGTGGAAAGACATGAATCTAGCTGAGAACAAATTGTTCTGTGATAGAGACATCATTCAAACCTGCATGCATCTGTCAACTGCCTGTGGTGGCACAGTGAGACAAAGTGATCTGTGATGTTTCTCTAGTGTGCCCCTGTCGCTAGCCATATTGTAATGTATAATACATCTCTTGGGTAGACAGCTTGTGTGGGCTGGATTCCACCTCAGCCTGTAAAGATGCCCGGAAGCACCAAGGTGAATTTTTTTAAGCCTGTTTAAATATTCAGAGTCGTGGCTAATTTCAGTGAAATCTCTGTGATATCTAATAAACTATTTGCTGGAAGTGAGATGGAATTTCAAGTTTATGGCTTCCTTATTAGCTGTGTGACCTTGGATTGACAAATTATTAATCTCTCTGCCTATTTATTTCTGTATCAGGAAAGTGAAGATTGTAAAAGTATTTGTCTCATAAAGTGGTTGTGTGTATTTAGGCAGTGAATATATATAAAGTGTCCAGAAGAGTACCTGGCACTTAATAAATGTTAACTGCCACCACCACCACCATCAGTAGCATTATTTGGAGTGAGATGAATTTTCTTCCCTGATGTTAGATGGCTTACTTTTAGGAAGACCACATCAAGGCTGTGTTCAACCCCAGTTCTAATATAGAAACTCACTATTTTGACTTGTGAAATGTCTTCAAGTTTATCTACAGCTAAAGTGTAATATACTATAATTACAATGTTGTAATTGTACTACATGTTATGTAAAGCATGTATTTATAAAGTACATATAACTTTAAAAAGTATATTCCTTTCTAAAGTATATAAAAATAGTACATCATAATAAAATTAATCACTGACAGGGATGAAGAAACTATAATATTCCTAAGTAATTATCTATAAGATATTACTGTTAAGTGAAAAAACTAAGGGCAAAATAATGTGTAAATCTACTATTTTTATAAAAATTTGCTTGTACACGCATAAAATACCTGGCAGGCTTCAAATGAAATGGTATATTTTCATTTGTCGTGGTTGGGGAGGGAAATTGGATGGCTGGAGACAAGGCTGAGAGACTTTTTACTGTGTATATATTTATGTTTTTTTTTTTATTGAACCATGTTTAGTAAAAAACAAAACCTCATAAAAATGAAGAAGTAAAATAGCTATTTTGAAGTCTAGATAAATTTTTATTCATCCTTTATAAACTTTCTTTTTGTCTGCACTACTCAGATTCACATTCGATAGGCTTTTAGATTCGTATTTTAGTTGTTTTTTTTTTTTCTTTAAATCTGCTTTTCAACACTAAACTAAGAATGATCTTTTGTTCTCAGGGATTTGAGTCATAATCGGTTGTCTAACTGGAACATCAGCTTGGAATCTCAAACATTACAAGAAGTGTGAGTTATTTTACTTATTTAAATTTATATTAAATTCTTTGATTTGGTGAATTATGAATTTGAGGATGTTCAATCCAGAAGTGCTGTCAAAATATTGAAGGAAAAAGTTGTGAAGACATTTTTTAAAAACTTGAACTGTCATTTTTGGTTTTGTTATAATCACAAATTCTGTGGGCATTGTGCCATTGTGTTGGTGGTTTCAAAATTCAAACTGTAGAAATATTCTTCTTCCTTAGGGCCAAAAGATTTTTTCCTCTTTTGAGAGTAAATATGTTTTGTTTTTCACCGAAGTTTAAGCCAGTGAAACTCTCTGTTGTGAAAACCTTTTTTTAATATCTTGACTCATCTAAGATGGAAGCATCATGTCTGAAGTAGATGTGTATGAAATATTTTTGACATCATTTGGAATGTGGTTAATAGGATTCAATTTTTCATTTGACTGAAATTTTTCCTTTAATACTGAGATGTCTTATTATGTATTCTTTGGAGGACATTTTCTAAAATATTATTAGTATCGGTTATTACATTTTGATGTTCCCAGAGACACAGCTATTGAGCCTGCTTTGCCTCTACCATGAACCCTCCCAGAACCCTCAAATCTTTTTTCCTTTTTAATTTGTTAATGGGTAACTACTGTGTGTGCTCACAGTCCCCGCATTCTCTCCTTCCCTGCCCCAAATTGACTGCTTCTCACCTGCTATGGAGTGAATATATAGTTGACAAGCTTATTAGCTGAAAGAGTAGACACTGAGGAAAGGTGTGAAAATGCTTCAGTGGGATGTGCATGTTTTTATTGCATGGACTTTGTAACTTTGGCCTTTTGCTTCTTTTTTTTTTTCTGTATTCTAGGTTGTTGGGGTTGTTCAGTGAATGAAAACCAGGTTAATGAAATGTGATTATATTAGGTTTTCTACTAAAACATTTGAGACAGTCTGTTTAAAGAGCTATTGAGATCAGACGGTGATGTGTCTTGGCTTTTGTAAAACTAATCATAAGTTCTGTCCCTGGGAGGACAAATTAATTTCATCTGTGCTCTCAAGCAACCCTTTCTCACTTTGAATGACTTTAAAAATATATACATACACACACACATACACACACGTACACATGTATGTGTGTTTGTATTTTTAAACTTTTATAATTTTATTTATTGTAAATACATAAGAGATATGGATAGGTTCATTCCTTTAAGAAGGAATCACATTAGCTGTCGTGAATGTAACTCTTAAAAGAACCTTGTTGGGATTAAATATATTTAATGTGCATAATATTTCCTAACCTTTAAAATAGATCAATTGTAGATCTATACCATGAAAAAACATTTCTTAATAAGATCTCTGATTTCTCAGTATGATGCATTTAGTCTAACTCATTCTGAGTCATAGACTTTTTTCAAATGTAGCATCTGTCCTAAAGAATATGTATTAGCCAGTAAACCAGAACTCAAGAGGTAGCATATCTCTTACTAAACTTTGAAATCTATTTTTCCTCCTGCCTAGGAAACTGAATTATAATGAGCTAACAGAAATCCCATATTTTGGAGAACCAACCTCTAATATTACCCTACTGTCATTGTAAGTAAATATGATTTCAAACTTTTTACTTAAATTGTAAGTAGTACACAGTTTTTTGAGTTTTATTTTAGGTACTCTTATTGTTGATCCCAATTATTTAACATCTTTGTGTCCTGGGGTGGCAGTAGCTTCAATATAATCTTTGTTTTGTAGAGTCCATAATATAATCCCAGACATAAATGCAGAGGCGTTCCAGTTTTACCCTGCTCTTGAGAGTTTAGATCTCAGCTCAAATATAATATCAGAAATCAAGACATCTTCATTTCCTCGAATGCAGCTTAAATACCTGTAAGTTCAAAGAGTTTAAACTGATTTTAAAGTGCATGTTTACTGTCCATTTGTACTTATCTTCCTAGAAGTGTCTGTTATTATGATTGTGATATGCTTATATGAAACAAACCTATGGTCAGTTTTGGGATTTTTGGGGTTTTTTTTTTCTCCCCTTAAAGAGTGCACTGTTGTCAGATAATATTAAGTATCCAGGGTAATTTTTGAGATTTAATTCTGGATTGTATTTTACTAATAGTTTTGTAAAAGATAAATAGGATTGGTTTGTCAAATAGTGACTTTACTCTATATAATAATGAGGATAATTAGCGTGTGTGTTAGTGTTTTGCAGTTTATAAGCATATTCACACATAGTGTTTCAATCCAAATGAAGTAGGTATTATTCTTATTTTGTAGTTGAAGAAACAAAGCAGTTAGATGATTTGTAAGATTGTATATACAGCTGCTAAGTGGGAGAGCTGGGGCTCAGTCATAGACTATGGGCAGCTTTCCAGTGGTAGAATTTTTTTGTTCCACTAAATTTTTTTGGTTGTAATCCTGTTCATTTTAGGAATTTGAGTAATAATAGGATAACCATCTTGGAGGCTGGTTGCTTCGATAATTTATCAAGTTCCTTATTAGTGGTAAAGTTAAACCGGAACAGAATAAGCATGATTCCACCCAAGATCTTCAAGCTACCTCACCTCCAATTCTTGTGAGTAATTAAATAGTTGGATTATAAGAAGATTGTTTTTTTCTTACAGTGTCTTTTTCTTTTTAATTATTATTAGAGCAAATCAGCAAACCAATTTTCTGACTGTAAAACTATTTTTTTTAAAGGGAACTTAAAAGAAACAAGATTAAAGTTGTGGAAGGTCTCACATTCCAGGGGCTTGACTCCTTACGATCTTTGAAAATGCAGCGGAATGGAATTAGCAAACTTAAGGATGGAGCTTTTTTCGGCTTGGATAACATGGAGGAACTGTAAGTACTGTGAGCTGGACTAGGAGATTGGTAGGGAGGGGTGTGACTGGGACTTGTTAGTGCCAAACAGCCAGGGTAGCTGCTTTAATTACACCAAAGCACATAGTCTTGTTCCCCTTCTCTGATGGGAAATCAGGTTACACAAAGCTCTCTTAAGTTTTGTTATCCAATTTGCATTTCTGTTATTGTTCTGACAGACAACATTTCAGCTAAATAGTTTATATTCTCTTAATGTTTTGGCCGATGGAAATTATCAGAATTTACCCAGAACAGGTATACTATACCTCTTGGAGCCTTGATTTTATGGCTCTGATATTTTGGATGGTTTTACTACTGTCTAGCACTGAATCTGAAGTAAGATGTGAATATGGACTAGAATTAAAATTAATTTAATTTATAATTTTACAATTTATAAAAGCGATATGGCGGTGTTATTTCTTGTTGGCTCATTTGGGTTGACAAAGATGTATGTTTCTCTGAGCAAGACTAAATGAAATAAGATTTTTGGAATCTTCTCATTGCAGTGCTTGTTATGAAATATATTTTTTCCTTTCTGTCTCTAATTGTGCAGAGAACTGGAGCATAATAACCTTACAGAAGTGAACAAGGGATGGTTGTATGGGTTGCGAATGCTTCAGCAGCTCTATGTGAGCCAGAATGCTGTTGAACGAATCAGCCCCGATGCATGGGAATTCTGCCAAAGACTTTCCGAACTGTGAGTGTTGGATGGCATTTCAGTGGAGGCTGTGAGACTAGAGCAAGTTGGAATAAATCATTTCCAGGGCCAGTAATGAAATTTAACATCCCTCTTTATTAGAAGCTTGTTGAAAGCTCTAAATTTATCATGTAAATAGAATAAAAATATGAAAATTGAACAAAAATACAGTGAATTCCTTACTTGTCATGTTTTTTTTTTTTAGTGATTTGTCCTATAATCAGTTGACCCGCCTGGATGAATCTGCCTTCGTAGGTCTGAGCTTACTGGAGAGATTGAATTTAGGGGACAACAGAGTCACTCACATTGCTGATGGTGTATTTAGGTTTCTTTCCAATCTTCAGACACTGTAAGTACATCTGTCTTTTTTTTTTGCTAACTTTTTTAATGCAGTAAAGCAAATAGATTAAAGCAATTAATCAATCTGCAAATTGATATATATTAGCATTTTGTGGTTCTTCTGTCTTATGCCTCAATGCAAGACAATCATACTTGTCTCTGTCCTTGTTCCTAAATCTTATTTATCTCTAGCCAGTTCAGTTTGTACTTTAATTCTGAATTAATCAATTAAACAGCAAAGCATTTCTTATTGTGCCAGTCATTGTGGAATACAGCACAGTAACTAGTGTCAGAAATGCACATTTTCTTGTTCCTCTGACCTTGAACTACCAGTAGTGTACCAGAACCACCACATCTCATTCAGAAGGATGCAGGATGCAGGATGTGTAGCTCTAACAGGAGACTTGTTCATTGTTACTACTTGCTGCATGACTTTGGACAGAAAAAAATAACATTTGTTAATGAGCTGATATGCTTTCAGAATACTAGGATATTATTGCTCTTTTCCATATCAAGAGGAAGAGGTTCAGAGAGATTAAAAGGATTTGTTTAAAGTCACAGCTTGTACATGTTTGGGCCAGGGTTAGAACCCAAGTCCATTTGATGTTAAAGTTCATCTGCTTTTACCATACTGCCAAATGAGTAAAATCACTTAACCTTTTCCTGGGTGTCAGTTTGTCTCTTCACCCCGTTGAAGACATAGATGGACATAGGATTAGAAGGTTGCTGAAGGTTAAGTGAAATTGCAGTCTAAAATTCTGTGGTTCTATAAGTTGAATGTTCAATGGAATATAATTGAATGAAGAGTTTTTTTAATGAAATACAGTATTCTCAAACATAGAGCAGAATAAGAGAAAAAGAGTAATTAGTAAAATTTATAGATTCTTAAGGTTCCTAAATAGGGGACTTTTTGGTCATCAGGTTCAGAATTGATAAATGGTCTCAGAAAAGAGGCAGGCTCCCAACTTTGGGGCCTAACCATCAATGAGAACAAAAGCATGAAACTTGTGAAGGTGTATATATGTGCACGAGTGTGTGTTTGATTTTTTTTTTAAACTTAATGAGGTAGTCTTCCTTCAGATTTGGCCTTGAAAAATTTAAAGTGATTTCCTCCCTTTCCCCCGCCCCCATTTTCTCCATTATCAGAGGTGAAACTAGATTAGTTATCAGATGCAGATTGCCTTTTAGCAGTCAAGGGATGGCAAACACGTTCTTTCAGTCTACCACTGATTATTACTTGTAATATTAAAGTTTAGTAAAGTAATTGTAGAAGTAAATGATTGTCTAATGCCAGAGATAAATAGTTAAGGCACAATTAGGATCAGATCTGAGAAATTCTGGCTTTAGACCGGTGCTCTTGCCGGAGTCGGTATACTTGCTCATTTGGTGAGCGAATTCTGTTTATGCTGTGCTGTGGAGGAGGGGGAAAGTCCTGAAGACTCGAGCCATGGGCTGTTTCAGTGTTTGTTCCTTAGAAAACAAAATGAGCTTCGTTAGCTTTCATTTCACTAATGGTAGCCAAAAGAGAAGAGTGATCTCCTGTCTGTTACTATTATTCACATAACTTTACATATGTCTTATAAAGCTGAAGCTTTGTGCTTTATTATGAGACAACTAAAGGAAGCAAAAGATATTAAATATCTTTAACTGGTATTTCTTCCATCAGGGGACATAGTGTGGTACAATTGCATTTCCTCTGAGAATAGAACAGTGTATTTTAAAAGATCCATACTTTTCCTTTTAAAGAAAACAGAGTGATCACTCTAGCACATTCTTGCTTCCCATGGGACGTGTTTAATTGCTGTGGAGCTGTGAAACTGTATTGACATTACTCTTTGTCAGCCATTTTAGGTTAAGGGCCCAGGGGAAGGCTTGGGTCACCCAGAAATCCCATTAGTCTGAAATCAGATTTGTAAGCCATATCCCCTGCGTCTTGAAATCCTCCTGCTCTTTGCAGAACTCTATGATTTTTAATATGCTAACACAATTAGGGGCTATTAGCTAGGACAATTGACACTCTCAGCAGATTGCTTAATTTATTTATGAAGGCTGCCTTAATTATTAGCTTATGAGAATCAGATTTTACATGCTTACTGCAGATATTCTTTAAAAAGAAGAGCCTTCATTAAACTTAGCTGTTAAAATAAGGATCAGAATTAGCATTGCCATGCCAGGTTGGTGCTTGATGGTGTAATGGTCATGTTGACTAACATGAACTGTCTTTCCCTGACATTTTTGTAGAAACTTAAGAAACAATGAAATCTCATGGGCCATAGAAGATGCTAGTGAAGCCTTTGCTGGACTCACAAGTCTCACTAAACTGTATGTATTTATAATATTTACGTATGTCTATAAAAGTATATTTTCAAGAACCGGTTGTAAATGCGATTGGATCATGTCTATTTGCTATAGCTGGATAGTCTGAGCCTTCTAACTTATTTCACTAAAAGAAAAAACTTTGTTGTTTGTTAAGTTTTTTGTTTGGGGTTACTTTTTCTATTTTTTTTTTGTGTGTGGTAGGGCATTTTCTATTCAGAGAGCATTTCTATTCAGAGGCACTTAAAGAGAAACTGTTTATAGAACTAGAATTTCTATTTAAGTAAAAGAAATGCACTGAGAAACCAGAGTTGAACCAGTAACCTGTTAATCATCTGAGATTCACGGGTAATTTACCTAGCAAGAGAAGATTCGCTCAAGTAAGATTTTAGGTCTTCAATGAGAATTTCTTCAAGGCATCACATGTGTCTGAATTTCTTTGATTTGATCTTTTACTAAGAAGGGAGAAACTGGGCATGTAATCCAATTTCTTATGAAAACTGCCAGCATGTCAGTGGTCAGGATGGTTGTTCAGGTAACGCGTTGAGCTCTAACATCTAATAGAAACTTTCATTCTGTGCTTTGCATTAGTTAATCATTAAGGTTTGCAGCTTTCTTAAACATTCATGTTAAGCTTATTTTCATCTTTTATAGGTAAATGTTTGGTTTAATGAATTTAATTTTCTTTAGTGGAGAGCTTTATTAGATCTGTTTGTATTTCAGAATCTTACAAGGAAATCGGATCAAGTCAATTACAAAGAAAGCATTCATTGGTCTTGAATCCCTTGAGCATCTGTAAGTATTTTGCATATATTTTACTCACTATATAAATAATCTTTGCTATTAGCTGAGGTTTTCATGACCATTTAAAGTGTTTATAGAACCTAATTGTGGAAATGGTGACTGGTAATGTTTCGTTTCTCTTCATTTCAGAGATTTGAACAACAATGCTATAATGTCTATCCAAGAAAATGCTTTTTCCCAGACTCGCTTGAAAGAACTGTACGTAGCTTAAGTCCTTTTTTAATCACCAGTTAGATCATTATCCATGCTTGTGCTTAAGGTGTGATGAATGCAACCCAGATGTTTTCAGAAGCATACAATCCAGGCAGGAAAAAGCAAGTGTTACTGTGCCGTTGCTTCAGTGGCGGGATATAGTTTAAAAATAACTCAATGTCAAAAAGCCCAGAGCGTGCAGCCCAAGACCTTTGTTTTGCCTGAGCTACTGATGCTTGTAGTTGGAGCTTAGCACTGTCCCTTATGCTTCACATGTTCCTTGCTGTTCCTTTTTTTTTCTTTTTCTTTTTTTCCCCTGTTCCTGTTTGGACTACTGGGAACGTACATTTCTAATCCTTACCCCGTAGGGTGGGTTACAAGGTCTTATGTGATCTCTGGGTGATGATCTAGCACTATCAGTCTAATGGTCAGAGAGGGTGTCTCTGATCTGTTTGCCCAAACTACTAAAATGTTCAAAAACTGTCCAATAGTTATAATAGAAAAATACATAGAATTTTATATCCTTTTCATTTATGATTTTTTAAAAAATTGCTCTTACTGGTTTAGAGATCTCCCAGGTGGAGGTTAATGTTAATCTCTGGTGATTCTAATATTCAGCCAGTGATAAAAATCAAGGGACAGTAACAATCTATCTTGCTTTGCCTGAAAGCTACTCAGAGAAAGGTCTGTGGACCAGAACTGATTCATGATAAGATAAGGACAGAAACTCAGAGTAAGTGTTTAGAAACTTTTAGAACAGTTTGACATCACTGTGACACTGGTTGACTTCTGTAAAAGTATGAATCTGCAACAGAGTGGAAAATTTTAAAAGCTGGTTAGTTTGAGATAGTTTGAGATACACTGAAAGTGTTTGAGTTCAAACTGCCTAGATTCCAATTCTTGCTCCATTCTCTACAGCTGTGTGACATTGGGCACATCTATTAGCCTCAGACTCAGTTTCCCTTCTTCAAGTTGGTAATAGCACCTTCCTCAGGGTTAGTGAGGATAAAATGGGATTAATTTTTTTATTCAAGAAATATTTGCTTTACAAAGTACCGTTCACAGCAGCGAACAAGACAAACTCTCTGTCCTCATAGCATATTACAGTAAATTCTGATAAGGAAGATAAATAATGAACCAATACATATATAATATCTTATCTGATAATAAATGTTCTGAAGAAAAGTCAAGCTGGGTCAAAGGTACAGAAAGGGACAGAGATTGCTGCTTTAGATAAAGTAGTGAGGGAAGGCTTTTCCGACGATAACAGCATTTGAGCCGGGACCAGTGACAGCCCATTGAATACTAGCTGAAGGGCATTCCAGGCCCAGGGGAGAGCAGGTGAAAAGGCCCTAAGGTAGGAGCTTCTTCTCGTGATGGAAGATCAGCAGAGGCACTGGTGGAGCTGGAAGACTAGAGTAAGGAAGAGTGGGAGCAGGTGGGAGGTGGGGTCCGAGAGCTAAGCAGGCGCCAGAGCTCGTAGGGCCCAACAGGCCATGAGGAGTTAGGGCTGTTCCCCTCATTAAAAGCTTGAGGAAACTGGAAAGTTTTGAACTGGTGCTCGGCACAGAGCCTGGCACACAGGAAGAATTGGATAACTAACAATAATAGCAAAAATAAAACTATTATGGTTATTATCATTAGTTATTTTTTGCCAGGGTTTTTAAAGTGGCTTTTTCTTTTGTTTTCTTCCTTCCTTCCTCCCTCCCTCCTTCCCTCCCTCCCTTCTTTCTTTCTTTCTTTTTTTCCATTCGTTGAGCTATTTTGAGTTATTTCTCCCAGGCTGAGTTTAACTTGTAAGGGCCCAACTTACTGCCTGTCACTATTACCCTTTTTTACCTGTGATAATCTGAGAGCCAGCAGGAAAATTTTAACTCTTGTTATGAGAACACAGTTCAGAATATAAGTTAGATAGTAGGTGAAAGCAAATACTAGTTTCATTCTGCAGAATCACTTAGTAATTTGGGAGTTGGTTTGAACAAACTGCTAGCTCCAGGTCTTTTAACTAAGAAGTTTTGTTTGCTTTTAGTTACTTTAAATCTAAGTCATATTTATAATACTTTTTACATCAACATTTATTAAAATCTATACTTTTCATTATCCTTCAATAATGGTTTGCTTTTGGGGGGAGATAGAGTCACATATAAATTAAAAAATAATTTGCATTAAAATTGTTTAATCGTGGTAGAAAAATTGGTAAATACAGTTATACCAAGAGAGAAAGGAAGACCCCAAATCCCTGCTCAAAGACACTGTTAATATTTTGGCATATGCCTATCCACATACTTGTTGAGAGAATGCAGGGTCCTCTGTTAGTCCCTTGTGGGCAGGGTTGGTTAGTGTGTGAAGGGTGGGAAGATGCAGAGAAATGGAAGTGAAGGGAACTAATGTGAATTCAGTGGTTATCTGTGGCCAGCACTGTACTGAATATTTAAAAATTTTTTGAGGTAGGCATTCTCAATCCTATTTTCCAGAAAAAGAAACTGAGCTTTTAGAGACATTAAGTAGCAGAATTAGGATAAGAGTCCAGGTCTCATGAGTTCAGCCCACACCTAAGACTTCATAAATCGGACCACGTCATTCCTCTGATGTTCACCTTCCAATGGCTTCCCATCACACATAGGAAAAAAACGACTCAAGTTCTTAGTTCATAAAACAGCTGCATGGCCTGGTCCTCCCTGCCCAGCTCTCTGGCCTCATTCCTGTCTCTGTCCCTTGGTGTACTGTTACTGCAGCTCTTCGCCGGATTTGCTTCGTTCCTGATAGCTGCTCTCTCTGTCTTTGCCTCGCTTTGTTCTTGCTAGCATTTACTTTCTGACATTATACTTTGCATTTATTTGTTTGTTGCTTGGTTCTAAATACATGAGCTCTGTGAGGGCTATAGCTTCATAGTCTAGAACAATGCCTGGCTTATAGTAGACTCAAATATTTCTCTATGAATGAGTGAATATAACATAAGAATTCTTAAATGCAAAAGATAACTTTCGGCTTGGTTATTTAAAATTACTTGTGATAAAATAACGACTTTGGAGATACCCTTAAAGACTGTTTGAAATCTCTTTGGAATCAGATTGTTGGTACTTTATACCAAACTTTATAACTAGGTGAGGGGTCATTAAAAGAAAACACTGATTTTTCAGCTCTGTTTTATAGGCCTCTTATAGACCACAAATAACTTTTCACTGGTTCTTAGTTTAAGATGTAGTACACATTGCCACAGGGCTGAAGTGTTTTCAGTCGTGATTAAATAATTTGGAAAAAATTATATCCTTTCCACAACAAAGGTGTCTCTGTGCTCCAATATATATATAGTAAGCTTTTTTGTAAACTTTTCTGGGTTAATTTTAAACCTCAAAGATTTAAAGGAAGGTACAAGAAACATCTGTATACCCTCTACCTAGATTCACCAATTGTTAACTCTTTGCTGAATATGTTCTCCCTCCCTACTTCCCTCCCTCCCTCTCTCCATCCCTCCTTCTCTCCATCTCTATCCGTCTCTCTCTACACACACACACACACTATTATTGCTTAACTGTTTGAAAGTAAGTTGCATACGTCATGACAGTTTACCCCTGAATATCTCAGCATATATTTCCTAAGAACAAGGATATTTTCCTACATAACCACTGTTATCGCACCTAATGAAATTAACATTAATAAAATAATATTATTTAATATGCAGTTCAGACTCAAATTTCCCCAGTGTAGATTTTTTTTTCTAGTCAAGGACCACGCATTTTATTTGTTTTAATGGCTTTTTAGTCTAAAATGGCTCCTTGCCTTTGCTCCCGTTTAAGTGTTTTTATGACACTGACGGTATTTGAGGAATTGAGGCTAGCAGTCTGAATTTGTTTTCTCGTGTTAGATTGAGGTTAAACATTTTTTTTTTTTTTTTTTGTGGCAAGAAAAATGCATAGATATGTGGTAAGCTTTTAATGCTTGAAGAAACTTAGAATGGAAAGTAAAGAGTACTTTTCCTTTGTTTCTGCAGGATCCTGAACACAAACAGCTTGCTCTGTGACTGCCATTTGAAGTGGTTGCTTCAGTGGCTGGTTGATAAGAACTTTGAGCATGCCGTGAATGTGAGCTGTGCACACCCTGAGTGGCTCGCGGGGCAAAGCATCCTGAATGTGGATCTGAAAGATTTTGTCTGTGGTTCGTATTTTTGTTTTAAAATTTTATGTATTACACACTTATTTTAAGAGAATTTTAAAAAACCAGAAGGCTTTCCCATTAGTGTTTATTTTTATTTTGTTGTATTCTTTTCTAACATTTTTATAGTTGTAATTGTAGGTTAAATTTTATATTTTTTGACCGAATATATTATAAGCATTTTTTTCCTTCTGTGTGTTCTTAAATGATCATTTTTAATGTCAAATAGCATCTTTTGAATGTAGGCCTTTCCTTTTTAGGGGGATTGTTAACTTTAGAATAAATATCCACTAGTAAGATTTCTAAAAAAAAAAAAGTATGGTTTTCTACATGAATTAATTCAAAAAGTATGAATTTTTTTTTTAGTAGATCTTGAAAAGTGCTACTAGATAGTTTTCAAAAAGATAGCACTAGTTTATGTTGTGACCAGCACTGTATGGATGTACCAATATCACGTGGTTTCTATTTTTGATGGAGTTTCTTAGGACTAAAGTGGCAGGGTTTTGGAGTTTTTTGGAGGGAAGGGGGATAGTCAGAAATTGTCTTGATTCTAGCACTTACAGTTTCCAGTATACATCTATGTTGTTCTTTCTTAACTTGGAAATTTTTCCTTTACACTTACATTTCCTTTACGCTTACATTTCCTTTAGAGTGGAATATCTGATTCTTAGCTTTGTAGAGTGGAACTTGTGAATCAGTGATTTGTGTTCTCTCTCATCTGTTTCCACGGTCTACTTAAAGATGCTTCAGGCCTACAAAGTACTTAATGTTGTTTTTATGATTTTTAAAGAAGAAAACAAAGAATCCAATAATGTTTAAATTCTGCTTACATTACCACGAATTCTCACTTTATTTGGTTTTAAGTGTTAGCTATATATTTTAACCTCTTTTTTCATGTATCACTTCTCTGACACAATGAAATGTCACCCAGTGAGGATAATGGTTAAGAATTCATATACCTGCTCCTCTGAATCACTTATTATTATTTATGAATCTGCAGTTTATTAGCCAGTCCTAAGCCAGTCTTTAGTTGGATATTTGATATATTTGTAATTTTTCACTATTTTAGGTCAAAGTTATACACATACAAAGTACTTTCAAATAATGTTTTATTAATAGGTATTCCCTGTAAAATATAGTAAGTTCATAATCTATATTTTCCATCTTGGCTCAAAGGATAATGGGTATTATGTACTCATTATGTGTGTGTATGTGTGTGTGTGTGTGTGTGTGTACACACACATACACACAAGGGATAATAGGATTAGAACTTGTCTTGAAATTCTGATACAGGGTTCTCTTTTTTCCAACTCACTTGTAATGTTTAAGAGGGACATTCTGAGCATAAGTGACAGTAAGGGACAATGGAAAGAG